GGAGAGGTGTGATTGGAATTGGAATTGAGATGAATGGATAGTGCCAAGTGACTGCAAGAGCCACATGATTGGTCAGCTGGTGGTGGTTCAAAGTTAAAATCCCCCCAAGGACAATGATTGAGTCCAGATTTGAACAAATACTCAGAAAGGTACAGTATATGCCATGGAAAACACCTAAATAGGTCCCTCTGGGTGTGGCAATGGCTTACCTCACCCTCAAAGACTGTGAGCCCCCACTTACAACCTAAAAAAAACACTAATTCTTCAATACACAATTTTCTTGATATGAAATCAGCCTCCATCCACAGAAAAGGTGGGTTGTTTGGAATTGATTACCAACCCCCCCACCCTTTTATTGCCTGCATGTGGTTTTGAGAAAGGTTAGGTGACCTGTAATGATTGACCCAGGCCTATGAATTTTTGCTCTACATTTTCTGCACAGTCTAACAGAATTAGGGGTGACTTGGTTTTCTGTATACTTATTTCCTAGAAGCCTGAAATTTGAGTCATAATTTGATGACAGGACCCATTGTAGGATGCCCCTGTGAGTCCACCTTCTCTTTGGATGGAGGGTGTTTTCTGATATGAAAAAGTGGTACTGAAGAATTAGTACAATTCCAGGTTATAAGTTAGGGCTCACAGTCAATCAAGTAAGTGTGAGTCGGGCCGGGTAGTGCAGTGTGAGTGGTACGGCCGATCATCGAAAATTTGGATGGGTGGCCCCTCGATTTGAATTCAGGTTCAGATTTCTTCACCCAACATCAGAACACAACCTCTCGTCATGCCTGCCTCCTCGACCTCATTCCCCAACTCTTTCAGGCTCTCTACCCCATCCGCAAAACCACCTGTATCATCTGTCTCCGATTCATTGAAGCAACTTCTCGACCATTCTCGACAGCTTCAAGCTGGCATTGCGAATTCCGTCAACCCCCTTAACACTTCATCTAATCCATCAGCAGGGAGTGGCTATGCTTCGGGCGCGTTTGCGAGCTCTCTTCCTACGGTTCAACTCGGACTAGACCAGATCGAATCACAGTCGAGGCGTTTAGTTTCAAAGTTACGAAAGAATGATCCCTTTGAATCAAGCTCTTCTCCTTTCAACAATGGTCAAGTCGCGTCAGGTCGCGATGGTCTGAACATCAGCTCCATCAATGGCCAAGGCCCTAGCTCAAAAGCGCACTATCTTTTGGCTGGTGCAGGTGTGAATGCCGATGAACTTGGCAAGACAATTGACGCGGTAGACCTCAGAGGGACCTTTGAGCCACTCCAGCCCTTGCAGGACACAGACGTCGAAGTACTAAGAAAATTTATCTGTCTTTTTTTTCAATCCTCGCGATTATAATTGACTAGTCTAATTTATCTCATCCTTCCAACGCGCGTCAAACAGGGTTTTCTCAAGCATGAGCATGAACAATCCATCATTGCATCTATTGAAGAAGGTCGGCGACAGACTGTGCACGACTTTTACCAGCTTCTGGATCGCTCATTGCGGCAAAATTGGGAAGAACAAAAAGAACTGCTCTTCGAAGAGCTCGGGCGTCATCAGCCATTGTCCGGTGCGAACATGTTTGTCGGCTCGACAGGTCATGGCTCCGGTCACAATCTGTCCGAACTTGCTACCGCTACACCGACTGGCTCGCCTGAGAATGTGACTCGAAAGCCTGGCTCGCGATCCTATTCGATCGAGGGCACTAATTTTGGCGCGTCTCAATTACCAGGTTCGCGAAGCAATATGAATCTGCCAAGTCTTGACATGCACGGAAAGATGATGCGGTACGATCAGGTGGTCGTTAAGTTGAACGAGAGGCGTCGACAGAACATTCAATTCCCGCTCGTTCACGCCTTTCAACAAGCTAGCGTCCCTGGCGCTGAGGAGGCGGGCAAGAATACCCAACACGCGCCTTTGTCTGACACCTGGAGCCTCTTAGGCCAGCTCGTACAAGAGACTAATACTGAGCTCAATGACCAGGGCAACGAACTGATTGGAGGGATCAGATTGACTTCGATATCCCAAGAGAGAAAATACGCGAAGCATTATCTTGGCGATCCCCAAAGCTCAGAAGCACGAAATCTTAAGAAGCAGTTGGCCGAAGGCGCACGGGTACACCTTCAACAACAGTAAGTTTTGATTTCCACTGTTCTCCTTTTTTCTTGGTTTGTGAATCTCACAATATCATGGTTCTCATCGCATTCACACAGATTCTTGGCACATATCAACATGCAAATCGCGCTTCATCCTGTCGAAGCAAATCTGGGTGGTGATCCGTCCATTAGTAACAAGATCAGAGCTTATGTTGAGCTGAAATTTCGTAAAAACGGAATTTGGACCGACAAGCGACTGGAGGTGAGTAACAAATTCAATTTCTCAGTATCTTACTAAATTGCCATCTTGATCCATCAACTGATCGAATACTTGGATTTTGTAGCTCATCAACCATACCCCAGTTTGGGCAAGAATCTTTTATCTGTTGAGGATTGGACAAGCTGCAGATGCAGTGCAGTTTGCAAAGAGTCAAGAAACCCAGATCAGGAAGACAGAACCCAACTTTTTGTCCTACTTTACTTCCTGGTCCACGAGCCCTGATCGTCGATTGTCGAAGACATTGAGGGATCGGTTCCTGGCCGAATACAACCAACGCGTTCGAGAAGTGATCGGTTCTGATGGGGGGTTTGGAGGCGCGAGTAACGCTCTAAACTCAGCCACGAATGTGGATCCGTTTAAGCTCGCGGTCTACAAGATCATCGGGCGGGTCGAGATCCAGCGTAGGAACGTGCCTGTGGCGATTGCGAGTATGGAAGACTGGATCTGGTTGCAGCTTGTGCTAGTCAGGGAAGCCGATCAGGCTTTGGATTCTCAACATATATCCGGTGGTAATACCACCTCATCCTCTAGTCACGATCGATATGGCTTGGACGACTTTGGGCAAGTGATTGCAAAGTATGGCGAGAGTCATTTTGACCCCAATGGTAATCGACCCATGATGTACTTCAGGGTGCTGTTAATGAGTGGACAGTTTGAGAAGGTAAGCTTGGACCCAGTCCCTATCACCAATCAACCGAATGACGATACTGAAGATACGAATTTATTACACAGGCCATTCTTTTCCTTCAACAACGGCCAAACTACCAGCTCGATGCGGTCCATTTTGCTATTGCTTTGGCCTACTACGGTCTACTCCGAATATCAGATAATGTTCCAGCCTTGGAGGGACATCCGAGTTCGTAGTCTAGCTACTCATGAGACGTTGTGGTGCTTTACTGATCATACATACCCTGCACTCTCAAACAGCGTCTCCTGCAAGCTCTAGCAAGACGTTCAACAACGCGACTCCTTCAATTAACTTTGCCAGACTTATCTATCGCTACACGCGTCTTTTCTCAAAGGCGGCACCAGAGGTTGCACTACAGTATCTCTACTTGATTTGTCTCAATGCCGACGCACTGCCACCTGCGTTGGGACAACAGCAGGTGAAGCTGTGTCATACGTACATCGGTGACCTGGCTGTTGAGACAGCTTCTCATGAAGAACTATTGGGTGACGTGAGAAATGATGGAACGCGTATTGTGCGAGCAAAATTTACTCTGCTGAATAGTGCGCAGGAAGCAGTCCGGTTCTGATGACGTTTTGTTTGTACCTACAGCCGGGAATGATTGAACGCGACCTATCATTAATCAAACTAGTCGATCAACGCGACTACCTCGAGACAATTGTCAAGCAAGCAGCCGAGCGAGCTTTCAGGGAGCGCCGATTACGGGACGCGATTCGGCTCTTCAACATCGCTGAAGAGTACGACCAGGTGATCGGTGTGCTTAACATCGAACTCGGTAACTCGCTCGCGCAGCCGGTTGGGGTGGACGTAAGTATGGACGAGGGCACGGCGAAGGCAGCCACAATTTCCCTCACCGCCTCGGAGGACATTGTAACAGTTGCAAATAACATTTTGGCGCACTACGATCGGACGGCGACGATCTCGGGGCGGATAACGAGAAAGAACAGGGAAACGTGCGCATTGCTGTTGAAACTAAAGACAGTATTGAACCTTCATGAGAAGGGTCGAAACGAACAAGCTTTAACGGTATGTGTTCCGTGGTTGATAAGATGCGTTTACATGAGTGCTCTAGTAGAAGTGACTTGTCTGCTGCTTTCCTACTTGCTTGTGAAGATGTTGGACGCAATCGATCTCTTGCCCACCGGTAACGACCTGGTGCAAATCATTCGAAAGTCTGAGCACGTCAAAGATCTAGACGACTCGATTGTAAAGAACTTGGACGTCATTGTGCTATGCGCGATGAACATCCTCTTTCAAGTCTTCAACAGTTTAAAGGACAGCCCGTATGGGGACGCAGGTCGACAAGCGGTAAGTGTTAAATATTTATCCTACTACTTTAAACCCTAATCCCCAGATAGCTGATGGATTTGTGCTTGTGTGCTAGAAAATGGGCGAGATTAAAACTAAGGCAAGAGCAATCACGACATTTGCGGGGATGCTGAGGTACAGGTTGTCGCCGGATACGTACTCACAACTGAGCAGACTACAAGCTTATCTACACTAGTGAGGCTACACGTTATCCTGTTAGGATATGAGCTGGGAATCTTTGTTGGTTACCTTTTTTGAGAGTGTAACCGGAACAAGAGATTGAAGAATTGAAAGCCATATGAAACAATGAATGGAAGTCAATAGTCGCCGAAGGCACATTTAGTATGAGTGAAGCTAGAGAGTTTTGTTTAGTTGTCTGAGGAGATGACGGTTTTTAACAAGTATGAAAGGCGATGAGATTGTACCGGAGGACACATGTGATGAGCGTCGGTCTTTTATGAATGAGTATTGTACAACCCTCGACTCGAGGTCGTTGCAGAGCGCTGAGGCGTGCTTGTGTTTTCTTCGACTCATCATCTTTAGTCTTACGGCTTGATTGGCGAAAGGTACCCCACTCCAGTGTACAGTCGTTACGAAAGAATAGGTGGTTACCTACTTAGTGTAGTTCCCGGCGAACGTCACGGGAGCATAGTGTAGTGGCTATCACGCTTCATTTGCATTCATGCGCGAGCATTTTCATCGCATCTTGAAGAGGTCCCGGGTTCAATCCCCGGTGCTTCCATTTTTGACAGCTTTTCTTCCTGGTTCTCGAGCTTCAACTGGACTCGAAGTGCAGAGGATGTCACCCACCAGTCACCACGAGATAATTTTTAACTTTTTGCGGTGAGTAGCTTCTTTGTTTCACTTTGAATCTATCCAACTTGTTATTCTTTTAAAAAAAAAACTCCCTTCATCATTCCTAATTGTCTATAATTGATTGTATCATTTTCTCTACCCTGCAATCAACTCATCTACATTATGAAATACATAGTAATGAGTGGGTCTCGAAGTCGCAAACACTTGCTAAATCGGGTTGGTTATATTCCCTGGGAGTCCTTATCTCATACCTCGTCTGGAAATTCCTATGAGTGTTTTGAATGAGAGCTCTGGAGGTTACAAATCAGTGGTACCCCCCCCCCAATTTGTACGGTTCTCAAAGTCAAGGGCAATCAATCTACGCACACAGAAATTTGTGTATAAGCAGTCATACATTCACATACATTTGTTAAATCTCATCCTTTATCAATATGAACTTGGTTTAGTGAGGAAAGTGCGAAAAAAAAAAA